ATCCACCACCTTGGTGTTCATGTCCTGGTCCACTACCACCATAGCCCCCTATTCTACTATAACCAGGACCACCACCATAGTTGCCACCATCACTTCCAAATCCATTATATTCGCCATCACCTCCTCCACAACTACCTCTGCTGCCAGTGCCTCCACCATCATCGCCTCCTTTTCCACCAAAATTACCTCCACCGCCTCCAAAGTTTCCTCTGTGACAATTACAACTTTATCAACTGTATTATGATCCTAAAAAGTTATGGCAAGGCCAGGTGCAGTGGCTTACTCCTCCCAAGCACTTTAGGGGCCAAGGTGGGAGGATCGTTTGATCCCAGGAGTTTGAGACCAGCCTGAGCCACATAAGGAGACTCCATCTCTATAAAAAATTTAAAAATCAGCTGGGTGTAATGGCACATGTCTTTGCTCCCAGCTACTTGGGAGGCTGAGGTGGGAGGATTGCTTGAGCCCAAGGGATTGAGTGAGCTATGATCAGGCCACTGCACTCCAGTCTTGGTGACAAAGGGAGATCCTGTCTCAAAATAAAAAATAAATAAAAGTAAATTTTAAAAAAGCAAATCCCCTCTTTTTTCCACTGCCTGCCTTCCATAACGTCTATGGTTTAAATAGTGCCATACTTTTCTTTCCTCTCTCTCTCTCTCTCTCTCTTTCTCACTTTCCTTCTTTTCTTTTTTTGAGACAGGGTCTCACTCTGTCACCCAGGCTGGAGTATAGTGGTGCAATCTTGGCTCTGCACCCTCTACCTCCCAGGCTCAAGCAATCCTCCCACCTCAGCCCCCCAAATAGCCGGGACCACAGGCACGTGCCACTATGCGCGGCTAAGTTTTGCAATTTTTGTAGAGACGGAGTTTCATTATGTTGCCCAGTCTGGTCCGTCCCAAACTTCTGGGCTCAAGCAATTCACCCACTTTGGCCTCCCAAAACATTTGGAATTACAAACGTGAGCCACTGCACCTGGCCTTGCCATGCTTTTCAAAGTACTCTCTCAAATTATATTCTTCTCTATCTTCCTTGATATCACAAACAAAGATTTTCTTCACAGTTAGATGGGCATCAGGCCTTATAGAATCCTCTCTAGAAACAGCTTTCTTTGGTTCCAGTACACACCTGTCAGCCTTGTGTGGTTGAGGACATGTCTCTGTATCCACCTCTTCAACGCATGAGTAAGTCACAAAATCAAAGCCTTTGGAACGTGTTGTTTGGGAGTCTCTCATTATCACACAGTCTGTGAGTATGCGCCATTTCTCAAAATGTTCTCTTAAACTATCGTCTGTATTTTCAAAGCTCAGAACACCAGTAAACAGTTTTCTGAAGTGCTCTGGTTCCTTTGGATCATATGCCTCCATTTTGAGCCCGGACTTGTCTTTTCCAAATTGAGTTCAATATGGAACTGAGAGGAAGAGCAGTCTTCTTTTTTTAAGAATAGTTTTAGGTCTACAGAAAAATCGAGCAGAAAGCACAGAGAGTTTCCATATGCTTCCTACCTCGGCGGAGTCCCTTATTATTGTTTTGCATCAGTGTGGTACATTTGTTACAAGTAATGAGCAAGTAATAATATTGACACAATCTACATTAGAGACTCGATGCATGTTTTATTCTTCTCCTCTCATTGGAAAGTGGCAGAAATAAATGTAAGTATTAAATCTTCCAGGGTTAACAGAAAGTCTTCTACGGAGGCCTTTGGCTACTTCTCTCCTTTTTGTCCCCCTCAAAATTCTAGAGTCATGTGTATTCCCTTTTTCCCTTCATCTTTTCCATCTCCTGATCGTGCTTCAACCCATGGCACTTTATCTTCTCTGTCATTTTACTAAACTGTATCTTTCCACAGAAAACAATACCTCCTTTATTACCAAGTTCAAGTAATGCATTATTATTCCTTATCAAATTTGACTTTGAAGCAGCACAGGACACTGTTAACCCTTTCTCCCTTCTTGAAATATTTTTTTCTTAACTTCCCAACTGGACATCTTACCTTCCTGATTCCCAGCTACTCTAATCATTGATCCTTTACTTTCTCTACATTAGCCATTAGCCATTTTTTTCTCTCTCTCTCCTTTAGCCATTCTCTAAGATGGTCCTCAATGATCTCCAACTCTTGGTATGCACATTCTTGTGTGTCACCTTCCTCCATTGACCTGGGTTGATCCATGTGACCAGTAAAATAGAACAGAAGTGATGGTATGTCATTTCTAAGATTAAGTTATAAAAGATGTTGCTTTGTGTGTGTGTGTGTGTGTGTGTGTGTGTGTTAGTCTTGCTCTCTTTCTCCTCTAGACTGCTCCATGAGGGTTGCATGAAGCAGCCACATAATTTACCATTATAACCTCTGGCAAATAGTAAGTGCTCAACTCATATTTGCCGAGTCAATTTATATAAGAACCTTTCCACATTGTAGTGCTTCCTCTCTCCCCCTCCTACAAGTTTCTATAGCACTTACTGAACACTTTTTGACATCTAGCATATTTTGCATTTATTATTTTATAAAAGGACTTGGCTTAATTGACCCTTCTAAAGGAGTTTTCCTTCACCTACTATGTGGCTGGCACTGGGCTAGTTGCAGGGCGATCGAAGCTCATCTTGATCATCCTCCTAGAGAAGGAGCTCCTTGTAGGTGAGTGGGGCCGAGCCCTGGTCACCTGAATGCGTCCCAGGGAACTTAGTCTAGGAGCCTGTAGAGTAGCATAAAAATTATAGTAAAATGGGTCGGGCGTTGTGGCTTACACCTGTAATTCCAGCACTTGGGAGGTCGAGGCTGGAGGATCATTTGACGTTGGGAGTTTGAGACCGGCCTGGCCAACATGAGGAAACACTGTCTCTACTAAAAATATAAAAATTAGCCCAACATGGTGGCACACACCTATAGTCCCAGCTACTCTCCTCGGGAGGCTGAGGCAAGAAAATCACTTGAACCCAAGAGGCGGAGGTTGGAGTGAGCCAAGATCGCGTGCCACTGCACTCCAGCCTGGGCAACTGAGCAAGACCCTGTCTCAAAACAACAACAACTATAGTAAAATGAACATTTACCTGGAAATCTCAAATTCTGAGTTCAATCTTTGACTCTTAAGGCTGTGACTTTGGGCAAGTCACTCCACAAATGTGAACTTATTTCCTCATTGTAATAAAGATATAGTAATTATACTTTTTACCCAAGGAGTCACTGGGTAGCTCCGATATGTCAAACCCTTATTTCCTCACTTGTCACAGGTCACTTATTGCCAGATGAATCATGGATTTCATAATGTATTTTGCATTTGTGTTGGGGATGGGGTGTGAGAAGCATGATTTTAACTGTCTATACCAATTATAAAATGCATTCAGATTTCATTAACTTTAACATGAGAAAATGTTTCTTTGAATCAAGACAACATGTTATCTATTGAAGTGTTCAAGTGTTCTGAAGTTGGAAAACCATTGTAAAACTGGGAGCTCTAATTATGGCACATTCAAACAGATGTGTTCTGAATTAATGACTGAGTTGGTTTTCCTCCTTTTTGTTCAATCATATGTGTTAAGGATGTGTTCTGTTTTATTATTGTTATGAAACATTGCAAACACATACAAAAGTGAAAGCAATGAATTCCCATGGATCTCATATCCAGCTGCAGCAAAAATCAACAAGAGGGTCACTCTGATTTCGTCTATATCACTACTCAATCCTCTCCACCCCCCAACATCTCCATGGGCTATTTTCAAGCAAATCTCAGGTCTCATATAATTTCATTTGCAAATACTTTAAAGGAGTACTGTTTAATAGTCATTTACCTTCCACTGTCTTCTAGTCAGAGATAAACTAAGTTTTCTTAGAGGTGTTTGCAAGCTTAGTTCACATTGCATACTCTCCTGAAAGATCTTTATTAACCAAGTTGAAAAACACACTTTCTTAAGAAGGCCTCTTCCCCAGTGGTTACTGGGGGTGGGAGGTAACCTTAAAATCATTACTTGGGGAGTAAAATGCCGGTGGGTCCCACATTTCTGAATACCTTTCCATTTTAAAACCAGTTCTGAATGCAGCAGACAAGATCAGAAATGGACCTACGTAAGTTTGTGATTTTTTTTTTGTTAGAATGCTGATTTCTTCTTATCTTTTTTGTTTGCTTTGTCTCCATGGGTTTAATCATTACATGATACGGGTCTAATGATAGTATGTTGGGTCATTTTAGAGACACTATTTTCTGCAAACGTTTTTTGTTTTTTTTTTTGTTTGTTTTTTTTTTTTTTTAGTAGAGACGGGGTTTCACCGTGTTAGCCAGGATGGTCTCGATCTCCTGACCTCGTGATCCGCCCGCCTCGGCCTCCCAGAGTGCTGGGATTACAGGCTTGAGCCACCGCGCCCGGCCTCTGCAAACGTTTTTATTCAGAGTGTTTTCTGACCATAATGTGTTACAAAATGTACTATATAGATGTGAATATATGCTCAGAATTAAAAATAAAAATCCAGGGATAACTTTTCAAAATAGTGTTGCCACTCACTATATGTTAAATGTTTAACATTGCACAGATTCAAATGCAGTAGGGATTCTCTGAAAAAGTTTTATCCTACTAACAGCTTTCAGATTATCGGTACTAGTTGTATGGCTTAAATACAGCCACATGTAAATACTTACTTAGATGAAGCTATGGCTAATCACATATGTAATGCAATCAGTTTCATGTAGTGGTTTGATCACTCTTTTCTTCAAGACTATATAAACAGGGATGAATTTGAGGAAGTTGGAGGGATGGAGTGAGAAAAGTTTGTTTTTGCAGCAGTAGCAGTGGGAGGGGTAGGTAGATTCAGTAAACAAGCACCCATCTCAAAATGCAAACTGTATTGTCTAAGCTGGCACCATGGTTTTATGGTGCTGGGGGTGTTTACTGCTTGTTGGGTTTACAGCTTTACAAACAGTGCTCCTTGGAGTTCTCTGCTTGCTATTCTTAAACACATTTGAGTTTTGCAACTGAGAAGTAATGACTTTGATTTCCAAAATCAGTCATTTTACAGTGTTGCGATAGGAGATTCATTTGAATTCACTTCTTCAGAGATGCAGGAGCCAATCAGGATCCTGTTGCAGTGAAAATGATTCTTTTATTGAAACCCCAGCTTCCTTTAAAAGAAGCCAAAGAGTACTGAATTACAGAACTGCCATACAGCCTTCCCTTTATTCTTTCCATCACCCAGGCCACAGGAAAAAAAAAAAAAAAGACAAACTTTTGTTCTTATTTTCACAAGTTATCACATGGTTTGGAAACTTCAGGGCATTTCTGAAACTTCATTGGTATGTGTCAGAAAAGTCCTCCTTAATACACCCGGTTGAATGAAAGACAGTTTGAGATGTTAATTTCCATTTATTGCAGAAAAAAATACATTTAATGCATTAAGGAAATGTCTAGCTTAAATAAATTGCCCACTTTTGAAATGAATGGTTGGAGGCCTGAGGTCCAAACCTCTAAAATCAGTTAACAAATGTTTATTGAACACCTGCTTTGAACTAGGCTGTTGAAGAAGTTCAAAAGTCTAAGATAAATTCCCACTTTCAACTCACCTACAGTCTAGGTGGGCAGAAAAAATCCAAACTCAGGGGACAATGCAAGAGTTAGATAGTAAAACCAGACAAATAGACAAGCAATGAAACAAGACACTGTATGGTTGGGCTTAGAAAAGTGTGTTTCAGGCAATATATATTCTAGAGGCATAGGGATATTCTAGGCATATTCTAGAGGCACAGTAATCTGACAATCCCTGGAAAATATTCACAAAGAAGGTAGACCGTTGGGATGACCTTGAAAACATAGATAAGAATCAGATAACCTTACGAGGAAGGAGGAAGCAAACAATGAATCTGGCTGTAATAGAGTGGGGAGTGGGAGAGGTTAAGGAGGGTGGGAACGGGCCAGATTGGCAAATCCTTAGTGGTAAGGCCTGGCTGTAGGGCTGAAGATTATTCTAAGGGATCCAAGGTCAACAGCAGTGTTTAAAATTAGATGGCCAAGTGCATGGATTCCCTTTCCTTTCCTCCTTTTCTGTCCTTTAAAAGCACAACCTGATTAGACAGTCTGGGACATTCCTAGCCCTAGGCTAAAAAGCAGCGATTGAGGCAAAGTATTCTTGGCCCTGAAGTTGAACGGTTCACTCTGGGGATGGAGCTCAGGGAAGTCATAGGGAGTCTGGGCCCAGGTAGGATCAGACCTATCCGCAGGCTTACTTAGGCTCCAATGATTAAAGCTCAGCTTCCCGAATGTGCCCCGAGGATAAAAGAAGACTTTTGAGTGAAAGGCATTTTCCAAGGCGCTCTCAATGGGAGTGGCTGAGATTGCTAAGTGCGGCCGCAGAGCACCCGCTGAACGCACACAAAAAAGTGTCTTCTCACCGCATGATTAGTGTTCACAGGTTTCGTCTAGCTCACCAGAAATGAAGAATAGCGCTGATGAAATGACACGTCACCTGGAGGGCTGAAAAACAAAAAGTGCGTAAGAGGGTCCCAAAAAGAACCAGCTTCCGTATAGACGGGTCTGCAAAATCTGCAGTCTCCTGTCCTCCGGGTCCCTTGGCCCGCCCCGAGGTGGGGACAAGGAATCGGAAAGCCCAGCTCAGCAGGCTCTCCTCCCTCGCAGCCAGCAGATGGCTCCCGGGCTCTCTTGCGCGCTCGCTCGCCCCCTCTCCAGACGCAGGGCTTTTGCGGTTTGGGAGGGAGGCTGCAAGGAGGGGCGCGGTGCCCGCCGCCGCCACCGCAGCACAGCGCAGCGTCTCTCCTGGGGGTGAGCCACACGCTGGGGACCCAGCGCCCGGGCACCGGAGGCCGGCCTGGCACGGGTGCGGAGGCCGGCTCTCGCGAGGTGAGGAGGAAAAGCAGGAGGAAGAGAAGAAGGAGAAGGAGGAGGGCCGGAGCTGCCCCCGCCCAGCCGGAGCCCGTCAGGAGCGCTAGGAAAACCTACTCCCCCCGCCCGGCGCCGCTCTCCCCGCCCTCTCCCACGCCTTCCGCTTTCACCTAGGGCTGTAGGTGCGGCGCGGAGACTGGGCGGGATCTACGCCGGCCCGAGCCCCGCCGGGGACTAGCGAGCCGGGAGGAGGAGCAGGCGCCACAGTCGCCCGGCGACCCGCGCCGGCTCGTAATCCTGTTCGCTCCTTATTCCGCCCCCGGGAACTGCGAGGAGGCGTCATGTAGCAGCAGCAGCAAATCTGCCTCGCATTGCAACTCTTTTTTTTTTTTTTTTTTTGGTGGGGCGGGGGGCGCGCGGCAAAATTGTATCTCCGCCCCCCTTTTCTTGCCCACTCCCATTTGCAAGCTGCATCTGCCTCTCTAAAAAAATTAAAGGTGTTCGGGGAAGGGCAGGGGGCCATAAATCAGAGTTGGACCTGCAATAACCCCCGCACCTACAGGGCAACCATGACCGAGGAGAGCTCTGATGTTCCCAGGGAGTTGATAGGTAAGATTCGCGCGGTTGTTGGTTTTCCATCTTCCTCTGCGTACTCCTCACCTCCACCTCCCTTCCCACCTCTGCCTTCCCGTAGGTCCCAAGAAGTCTCGGCGCCCCTTAGGGCAGAGTGGTGTTGGGCAGGGTCACTGGGGGCGCTGGGAAGTTTGTTCCCATTCGACCGCCTTTAGAGCCAAGTGCGGAGAGGGAAGGCGTCGGGGAGGAATCGGGAGTCCTCGGGAGGTTGGTGGGAGGGGGGTCTCGACTGTGAGCCCTGGGAACCTCCTCCTGCCCAGACGCGGGGGTCCAGGTTGGTGGAAGAAGGGGGCTTGGGAGTTCTTAGACTTGGGAGTTCTGCAAGCGAGGGGAGCCCTTTACGGCGCCCAGCCCACTGCCCCAAACTCGGGAAAGTGCGGGAAAGCCTATCGGAAGGACAGGTGGAGAGCGCACAGTAGGTCGTCTCCGGCACGTGTCAGGCGCCTTCCTGAAAATGCCCCGCGGGAGGTGATCTTCTGACACGCAGACTTCGGGGAGTGGGAGCTAGTCTGGTAAAATGACTGGGCCTGGCAAGGCGTGGCTTGGTGTAGTCATCTGATAGCGAAAGGGTTACAGGGCTGACGCAGACTCGGGACAGGAAATAGAGGGTTAATGATAAAAGCCTTATTTTAATAATGATTAACCTACCGATTCTCCCTACCGGGGATCTCTTAGGGAACCTGTGTGTGTTACCCTGTGCAAGATGACCCATTGTTTGAGTACCTTGAGGTTTTTTTTTGGTGGTGGTGGGGGCGGGCCTGGTTAAGTCTTGGGGTTTAACTTAATTATCTGGAGGGTTAAAATGGCAGAGCTGAAATAGGATGGGAGAGTGTTCTTAAAACCTAGCGTTTAAGCATGTATATGTGGGTAGCATGTTGTATTGTAACAAGGTATGTGCGTCTGTGTGCAGATGTGTTTTGAGCCCTAGTGACCTATATTCCCTACTGTACCATTCTTGGCACACTACACAGCCTACAGCTCACAAAGATGATGTTTAATCGGTGCTGTCAACAAGCGGAAGTTCTGAGCACCCATTCATCTCCATGTGTGGAATTTGCCTCTCTGTTGTTCCTTTTAGCTAATAATACTTTGGAGGAATTTGTGTATGCCCGTCCATTGGTGACTGTTAACTCAGCAGGTAAAACTTGATGTAGAGAGGCTGTTGCTAGGTTTGTGTGGAAGCCTCTACTTCTGCTGAATTACAGACAAACCTGAACTTTTACCAGAATTTACAGTATGAAGTTATTCACAGACATGCGCGCGCGCACACACGCACACACCTCTTACATGATTCCAGCAGGCCCTCTTCTCTCTCCCCAACCCTGTGGAGTCTGCATCTTTTGCTGGAGTGAGTGACCCATCCGCTTCTGGGAGTCTGCGACCTTTCCAACACCCCAAGCAAACGCCAGAGGCTCTGAAGATGCTTCCAGAGATCCTGAGAATGAGTTTAGGGCAGGACTTGCCTGGCTGGTCAGGGGATAAGGATGGCTAAAGTGGGCGGCAGATTTTTAATTTATATAAGGAGTTGTCCTTGAGTCTGGAAATGGAAAGTATAGGTAATTACTTAGACCCAAGAGAAAGAGTGAAGGATAGAGTGGAAATAAGGTGTCTGGGTTTCTATTCATGGTTCTCAAAAGGAATAGTTTGTATATTTTAAAAGTTGAATTTGACCTTTATCTTGAAATGGAATTTTTGTTTTTATTAAGTATTGCCTGTCATATATCTTTCAACAGAGTGACATATTATGCCTGATATTATTTTTCTGTACCTTTCAGTGGTCAAGTTAGGCTGGGATGGAATAAATTCCTGCACCTGCTTTCCTCTAAATTCAAGTGCTCACAAGAGTTCTGCTCTGATCAATTCAAAATGGCGACCGTCCACATTAAAACCTCTGTGTTTTCCCTTAAGATTCCCTCAAGGTATTTAAAAGGTGTTGGACTTGGCTGGGTGCAGTGGCTCACACCTGTAATCCCAGCACTTTGGGAGGCCGAGGTGGGTGGATCACCTGAGGTCAGGAGTTCAAGACCAGCCTGACCAACAGGAAGAAACCTCGTCTCTCCTAAAAATACAAAAATCAGCTGGGCGTGGTGGCGTATGCCTGTAATCCCAGCTCCTTGGGAGGCTGAGGCAGGAGAATCTCTTGAACCCGGGAGGCGGAGGTTGCGGTGAGCCGAGATCGCGCCATTGCACTCCAGGCTGGGCAATAAGAGCGAAACTCCGTCTCAAAAAAAAAAAAAAAAGTGTTACAAACTTTTTGTAGAAAAAATTTAAATGCAGAGAAGAATAAGAAGAATATATATCACTCCTATTACCACGTAGAGGTAGTTATTTTAAATCTTTGGGTGTATGATTTTCCAGTCTCTTTCCAGTTGTATATGTTCTTAAGTCAATTTCAGATGCCCATTTCCCACAATTCTTCTAGGGGAGGGAGGAGTGGCCTGTGCTTGTTTGGAGTTCTGATAAGATAGAAGCTGTGTGAAGAACTCAAAGCGCACTGAGCTCTTCCACATGTTCCCTCGCCCCAAACATTCCACCTCCTTGCTGTTCCTTGAACAGGCTGTGTTTTCTCAGGTTTCCATGCTGTTGTTTATGCGTACACTGTCTTTTTCTCCCCGTTTTCACTCTTCTTTATCTCAGCAGCTCTAAACTTTCATGGTGGTGTTTCCAAGAAGAAAATTTTGATTACCCTTTAATAAACATATATTTGTTAAACTACATATTCCATTTAGTGTGTATAATCTAAAACACAAACTGAAATACACATTGTAAGTAGAAGTGAAAATTCTATTTTCTTCTTTCATCTCAATGGATTGTATTGTACATTCTACTTTGGAAACCAGGGGTCTTATTTCCTATGCTTTCAAGATTCAGCTCAGGGATGCCCTCCTCCCTGAAACCTTCGCGTGCTTCCGAATCCATAATCCTATGCATTGTGTGTGAATTTGATTTATGACATCTGTCCGTGACCTCCACTAGATTGCAAACTCCTGTGAAATGCAAGGACCATCTCTATCTAGCACCTAGTAGCACACAAGAGGTACTCCTATATATATTTATTTGTTGAACATGTGAATAGACCAAAATGATTGTAATACAGAATATAGAGGTATGGGAGCATCGAGAGGGTACTGTATTTTGGAGGATAAGTCGAATATAACCAGGAGGACAATAGGGAAAGGGCATTCCAGGAAAAAGAATAATAGATACACAATCCTAGGGGTGTAAAAGATGAAGATATTAGGGATAATTGGATCTTTAGGTATGTGCTGAGAAGTCACACTGAAAAAAAATGTGGAAGACCTTGAATGGCATGCTATGCGTTTTGGGTTTATTCAAAAATGACTGCAACTCATAGACTGGGAGAGACATGATGAGTCTCGCAGTTTTGGAAGAGTCAATGTGATTATGGAGGTGATGGTGGGCTGATGGGTTAGAGGTCATGGACTTAGTCTTGGTGAGAGATTCTGAGGCCCTTACTGCACTCATGCCTAGGTCGTCAGGAGCTGTGGAGGAGGTAGATTTTAGGAGACTGACTTGCTGTCTGAAAGGAGTTGGAGATAAGCAGTTTCCAGCATCATTAGTGTCCAGAGTAGGAGATAATGAGTTTGATTTCAGACATGTTCATTTTGAGGTGCTCATGGGAGCCCTAGGAAGACTTTTCCACCACCATCTGAAATGTCAAGTCTCCAGATTTCTTCTTCTATTGCCTTTGACTACTTCTTGGGGGTATTGTGCTGTGATGATTTTGGAAGGACAGATGTCTGGGAGTGCCTTTCTTTGACTAAATCATTTGGTATAGTTCTGGTTTATTTTTATTTTTTTGAGACAGAGTCTCACCCTGTCACTCAGGCTGGAATGCAGTGGCATCATCTCAGCTCACTGCAACCTCTACCTCCCGGGTTCAAACAATTCTCATGCTTCAGCCTCTGGAGTAGCTGGGATTACAGGCACGCACCACCACACCTGACTAATTATTTTTTTGTTTTTTAGTAGAGGCGGGGTTTCTCTATGTTGGCCAGGCTGGTCTCGAACTCCTGGCCTCAAGCGATCCACCTTCCTCAGCCTCCCAAAGTGCTGGGATTACAAATGTGAGCCAACGTGCCCGGCCCAGTTCTGTTTCGTTTTGCAGTATTCCCCAACCATCATGTCAAGACTTACTCATAGAGAGTGCTAATATTTGTTTGACACTATGGTGAACCCAGAGGCTGCTGGGCCCCAGAGGTAACCAGCCAAGGGCAGAGGGAGTTTATGAATTCCTGTTGTGTTCTGCATGCAATGTAGTGTTTCATCATACTGTCCGACTTCACTGTTTGCTGCTTTTTGTTTTTTCTTGTATCTTATTTTCCAAACAAGATTATGTCATGCCTTGCATGGGCTGGTATTATGTCATGCTTTTATGTTTGCCTCAGCATATCAATATACAGTATGAGGTACAAAGTAGGTGTTTATTAAATACTTGATGGGTGATAACCATCCAACTTGTCAAAACAGGTAAAAAAAAGACAAACAGGCACGGTAACTCATGCCTGTAATCACAGCACTTTGGGAGGCCAAGGCAGGCGGATCACTTGAGGTCAGGAGTTCAAGACCAGCCTGACCAACATGGTAAAACCCCGTCTGTACTAAATACAAAAATTAGCTGGACATGGTAGTGCGTGCCTGTAGTCCCAGCTATTTGGGAAGCTGAGACAGGAGAATCACTTGAACCCAGGAGGCGGAGGTTGCAGTGAGCCAAGATCTCGCCATTGCACTCCAGCCTGGGTGACAGAGTGAGATTCTGTCTCAAAACAAAAACAAAAACAAAAAAAAACCAGGCAAACAACAACAGTAAAAACAACCAAATATACTCCTCCAAATGTTTACTCCTCCCCATTGCTTTTTTTCTTACTAATAACATAATGAAAGTGTTCCTTTTTTTCAGAAAGCATAAAGGATGTTATTGGCAGAAAGATAAAAATTTCAGTGAAGAAGAAAGTAAAGTTGGAAGTTAAGGGAGACAAAGTTGAAAACAAAGTGCTGGTAAGTATTACTGTTTATTTTTATTAAAATGTCTAGAAATGAAAGTGTCTTTTCATTGTTTAGATTACTTATTTTTCATGCAGCATTACTTCTGTGTTTTATATATTGTTCAAAAGTTCTGATGACCATTTTGTCTTAGGTTAATTGGAATATTTCTTTGTCAAAAGTTAAAAATAGGGTAATTTGAATTTTAAAGATCAAAGGCTTTTAGATTGTATTTTTGAAAATTGTAATTCCCCCCTATATTTAGATAATCTCTTAGAGTCTGTTTTCATAATATTCAGAGTTTGATGTTAAATGGAACTTTTAAATTTTGTGTGTAGTGGCTGATCCTATGACTTTATTCATAAAGTCTTATGGAGGAGTTTAAAAAGTTCATCTCATGTTAGTTTAATTACTTAATTAGATTTTCTCAGATGTTATATGTGAGTCCATCTAAGGGGTGATGAGCTAACAAAGCATTGTCATTTTACATAGGATGTTGGTGCTTTGGAGGGAAACTCCTGCTGAAGGCAGCACCTGCTAGTGTTGTGGTTAGACTTGGGGTTCCCTCCAGTTTGTGAGAGGAGACGCTGAGGGGCTGAGGGATTGGGCCCTGCTGCAGAAAACTTCTTAGAGAGGTGTCAGTGACAGAGTTGTACCTTTAGAGAGGTGAAAACATTTTGTGGTATTTTAATGGTTTCTAGGTTGAGATTGTGGCAAATCTAAATTTAAGCTTAGGTAGAAAGAATATTTTGATGGAGAGAGTATTGTTTAACTTTTTAACATGGATATTTTCAAACATATGCAAAAAACAGAGAATAATATATCGAACCCTGTGTACCTGTCCTTCCCAGCTTCAACCATTTTCAGCATTTTACTAATACTAAATATCTTCCCCATGGTGGTGGTGGTGGTGGTGGTGGTGGTGGTGGTGGTTGGTGGTGTTTTCTTTTTTTTTTTTTTTTTTTGCCTCTGGAGAATTTTAAAACAAATCTCAGGTATATGTTATTGAAAGAGAATAATTTTTTAATTTTTAAAAGTTTTTTGAGACAGGATTTCAGTCTGTTGCCCAGGCTGGAGTACAGTGGCATGATCTCGGCTCATTGCAGCCTCTACCTCTACCTCAAGTGATCCTCCCACCTCAGCCTTCTGAGTAGCTGGGACTACAGGTGTGAGCCACCATGCCTGGCTAATTATATTTTTTGTAGAGACAGGGTCTCCCTATATTCCTGAGGCTGTTCTCAAATTCCTGGACTCAAGCGATGTGCCTGCCTCAGCCTCCCAAAGTGCTGGGTTTACAGGCATGAGCCACTGTGCCTGGCTGAAAAAGAGTATTTTTAATATTCCATTTCTTCAAAGTTGCCAAAGAATTTGAAGCGTCTTTCTGATCACATCTGTCTTGAGAATCTTCTAAAATATCTAACCCCAGGATATGTGACTGTCTTTTCTTGTTAGTAAGGATTATGCTCGTGATGGATGACTTCTATTTCTGTGTTGTCTGTATACACAAGTCGGGATGGTAAAGGCATTGAAGTGGGAAAACTTGAGTGGCTTTTGCCCAGCAACAAAATGTGCTTATGTAAACTGCGTGATTAAGTTATCAATAGAAGAAATGAGTGGTGCCATTGTTCTGTTTTATTTAGCTTCAGTAAACATGAAATTTCCTTATGTTTTTCTTGATGTTGTTCAACAATGATTGTGTTATTGTTTTGGAAGTGGTAGTGTAGAGAAGAAATATTGTTTCTGTCATTTGCTTTTTTATAAATTTAAAGTAAGTTTCTAATAATGTAGTAATTTTATAAGATGAATCAACTTCTCTACAACTTAAATATCAGGTAGTGGTTGCTATGACAGTCTAAAAAATTGGGACTTGGTATTATTTGATATGGAAATGATTATTATGCTAAGAACAAACCCACGTCATGAGTGCAATTTACCATGTTAAAATTTCAAAGACAAATTTAAATGTCCAATATAAAATTAGCACTATTTAAAAATAGTTATGATTAGTACTTAATTGTAAGTTTTTTGGCCTCATCTAACAGCTGGAATTGATTGAAGTTGTAACCAAATTAAAAATGTATTTGAGTTTTTTTTTTTTTTTTTTGAGACGGAGTCTCGCTCTGTCGCCCGGGCTGGAGTGCAGTGGCCGGATCTCAGCTCACTGCAAGCTCCGCCTCCCGGGTTCGTGCCATATGTATTTGAGTTTAAGCATTTATCTCCTATTAGCACTATTTAAAAATAGTTATGATTAGTACTTAATTGTAAGTTTTTTGGCCTCATCTAACAGCTGGAATTGATTGAAGTTGTAACCAAATTAAAAATGTATTTGAGTTTAAGCATTTATCTCCTCAAATATGGAATATAAGCAGTTTCTAGGAGCATGATCGGAACTCATTGTGGCTGTTATTTACTTGCATGGGCAGGAATTATTAACAGAAATACTCAAGGTCTGGCTTTCTTTGACAGGCTTCAAGTTAGAACAAGAAGATGTATGAAGTAATCTCAAAGTTGTGGATTTCTGAGTTTCTGAGTTTAGAGAAATTTAATTGCTTAATCCATTGTTAGCATACTAAAATGGTTCGTAAATGAGTTGGCTGAATATCTACAATACGCTTTTTTGAGTTGTGCTTTTGTTACCTTTCCCCATTGCCCACTATTCATTCCTTTTCTTCTTATAAAAGTAGGAGTGTGCTGTATGTTACGTGGTTCTTTCTTCTTATACTTGAGACTGTATACTATTTCTAGCTTGTCTTTTGTAGAGGGCTTATCTTCATCTTTCTATAATCATAATAGCTAATATTTCTAAAAATCTGTTTTTGAAGGCTAGTCAAGTGAAGCAGTGGGAGTGGAGGAAGAGCAAAGAAATCTATAATGAGTTGTGATCAATTAGTTGTAAACACCCCTACACTCAGACCAGCCATGATCATAATAGCTAATATTTATTAAACCCTGGCCAAGTGCTACAGACTATGCTGAGTACTTAATGATGCATTGCCTTGTTATATCCCCACTACAACGCTATGAGGTAGGCACTTTTTACATCTGCATTTTACAGATGAGGAAATTGAGATTTGGAGAGGCCAAAGTAAATTGCTTCACATCATTTGGCTAGTTAATAACTGCTGGGATTCCAACCCAGCTCTGCCTCATTCAGAGCCTATCTGCTTTGCCTCTGTGGTCAAAAAGAAAGCAGCCATTACTTTGTTCCATGGTTGCTGACTTCAAACAATGATAGGGGAGATTTGGACTTTAGGGTCTCTCTGTCTTTGATTGACTGATTTATACGCTAGTTTAATATTTATTGAGTACCTGCTGTGTCCCAGGCACATGGTATATACAAAATAGTCCTAGTCTTTGACTTCATAGGACTCCAAGCTTACAATCTAGTTGGGGAGATAAACATGTAGCCAGGCAGTGGTTTGAGATGTGCTATGGGTGGATGAATCGGGCCTTCAGGAGCATGGAGAGGAACTCCCAAGTCAGGCCTGAGAATCAGGGAAGACTTCAGAAGGAAGATAAGCTTACGCTGGCATTCACTGGATGAGTAGGAGTTAGCCAGGGGAAGAGAGTGGAGACATATTCTGGACAAAGGGAACAGAATATGCCTGGAAGCCTGAGAGAGCTTATGTTAGAGAAACATACTAAGGTACAGCTGGGGTAAGGCATATGCAGGGTAGAGAATGGGTAGGTGTAAAGCCTGAGTCCTGTCTTTGCAGTTGGGATATCAGGTGAAAGTTGGGACTGGTTAAACAGGTCTCTTCTTGCCACCTGTATGTAATGAAATATTAAGGCTCAGTGGTTAAGGGCTGTTAACCCGGGGTTCACACTGTTGCTCAGCAACTTTATGACAATGTTAAGAATCAGTTTTCTTTTTTTTCTCTAATGAAACCTATGTTATAACAGTATCTATTGGTATGTGGTTGCTTTGCATATTAAGTGGAATTTATTTAAATACTGCATAGCACAGTGGCTGCATGCAGCAAACACCCAAAAAATGATAAGGCAAGAGGAACAAAGGGGTGCTTCATTCTGTTTTCTCCATGGTGCAGAAAATGCCGATCCTTCTGAAGCCCAAGTGTCCGCTGCCTCCATTGACAGGTTGAGGTCAGTTCACCATAAGGCCAAGAGGGTTTATTCATAATTTGTGGCACCTTATTAACAGGATAGAGGGCAACAGGCTGGATCTAAAATTCCTAAGGTATGCTCTCCTCAAAAGAAATCAGAAATGCTAGATGTTCTGGGGCAAGAGTGTTCTATACTCAAATAAATTTGGCAATCAGAGTGTTAAAGATAAATCAGTTTCTTTACTGCATGAGTTTTCAGAGCCATTAATATACCCCTGTGCATTGTAAATTTCTAAGAATTGGATAAAGTATGCTGTTTTTTCCAAACTTATTTGGCCAGAGACCCTAATGACCATGGGCTAAGAAGGAACAGGCCAGAGATGATGCCTCTTGGGACAGTTAAGAAACGATAGAACAGGCTTGAATAGGCTATCCATCATTCTCCTGAGGAATGGTCCTTTAGCCCATGTTTTTTAAAATCTATGTTGTGAATAGTTCCACTCTGGGCTACATTGACTTGACATGTCATATGTTGTTGAAATACCTTTCTCTGTTGTCTTTAGGGGATGTCATTAGAAAGTGATTCCGTGTTTCTTTGACTCTTATTCCCTTCTCCCATTTGATAAATTAATCTTTACCCAATTTTTTATAGTTCTTGGAGTGTAAAAAATGTATTTTAACTCATGTATTTTTTAAAATTAAACTTTTTCATTTTTAAATAATTGTAGATTTGTCTGCAGTTATATCAGATAATACAGAGAGGTTATCTTATGCCCTTCATTTAGTTTTCCCTTTTTGCAAAATTATAGTATAATGTCAAAACCAGGTTACTGACATTGATTGATACTGTAAAATGCAGATTTCCCCCACCACAAGGACCCCTAACATTGCCTTTTTATAGCCATACCTAGCATTCACCACTTCTCTGATCCCTGGTAGCCACTAATCTGT